GATTTCAGTTCTTTTTTGGTTTCAGATTGCTTTTAACTGCCTTTTTTACGATACTTCAGAAATTACCAGAAATTTATGCCTCGATACTAGATTACCTCCTTAAAGTTTAATAGCTGGAACTTTCAAAACAGGTTACATGAAATATACGAAGTTAGAGTATTGCATAACTCTCCGATTAATATCATTCCATTCCAAATAGATATAAACTCGTGGCCATGCAAACGGTATTGGTTATAAAATGGTTATATATTGCTTATCATACACTCATATTGAAACGAAATTTGAGTTTTGGTTGTAAAATGGTTATATACTGGTTATTATATCTGAAAGCGATTTTCAATTTTTTTTTGATAATACGTTGTTTTGCATTTTAGCTGACGGTATGTATATTACAACTCTTGTAGGTCATGAGAGAATTATGTGTGAATGTACAAAACAAGAAATATAAATTTTTTAAATAAATTTTTAAAAATTATTACTAAAGATTTATTTAAATCACCGCCTTTGAAAGAGTAAAGAGTAAATTGCCCGATATTTCTAGCCCTCGCACACACTTACATAATAGAATGCTTCGATTTCGACATCAATTTGATTCTTCTGCTGTCCACCACTATCATAACTATCCACGCTAGCTTTGCGCTGTGATTTGCGCCGCAACGAGGAGCGTCGCTTAATCGCCTCCCGTTGCTCCTTCTCCTTTTGTTCCTCACGCTTAAGATAATCATCGCGATTGATCAGCAATTCCGGCTCAAAGGCATACTCGCGGATATATTCATCGTCGGCATCCGAGTCGAACATGTGGCGGGGCGCTTGATGCGCCGCAGCGCATGCGCTGCACAAACAACACTAACGAAATTGGTAATAACAACAAAAATGAAGAGCTGCGAAACCAAATGCTGAATACAAACAAAACACCTATGATGAAAGGTGAATGTGTGCTGTTGATACAAGGCAAAGAAGTGTTGCTTGCTGATGGCGCTGGTAACCGGCGCACAGGCCGAAAATGATGATATGACACGATGTTGTGACGACAGCAACACGCGGCGTTTAGTTGCAAACGAGGTAGACACGGTTCAAGCACATGTTTCAAATGTGTCTCACTTATGAGTACGCAAGTATTATATTGTTATATTTTATTTTATGTTATTTGTTTTTTTGTTTTAAAGAATTTTCACGGGCATGTGTGTGTTTTATTTTTGTTTCGTTTTGGCGAGACTTTGCTAAATCTTTTGCTCGCCTTTTGTCTGTTTTCTATGTACTTTACATTCGAATTTCACGAACTTTTCTGGCGCATAATATTTCACACATATTTCTTCATATTTCATAGATGTCTTTTGCATTAAGTTATTTGCGAAATATCACCGACATTGTATGCCTCAATGTGAAATGCGCATTTGGCGGTCAGCGGCGACGACATCGCGACGCTTCACACGCGCACTCGCCTCTAGCCCTCTAGCCCTTGAGGCGCTGCAGACATTGTCAGTGTACTTGGTGCCAGGCGCATAACCCAGCCGCAGTGTAACCTCTTGTTGGCATTCTGGTTGAAGGCGATCCTTGTCGCTTGTGGCCATAATATGCTCGGCTGCAGCTGCTCAAGACGACTGATTCATATTTGATGCTGAAAGTTATTGTGTTTGTTGTTTTAGAAATTTGTCATGCACCGTAGACATTTTGTGCTGAGTAAGTGTTGTTGGTAGATATTTTGCGGAAAAAGGGGAGAGAGAATACGATATGGAGAGTATCTAAGCAGTATTTTAAGAAGATCCGAGAGTTTTTAAGTTTAGTAAAACAAAAAAATTTATTTTTTATGCAGCAATAAATTGTTTGACTTGTTACTAAATTATTTAATTTATTGTGTAATATTTAGAGGGCATAATTCTTTGTGATTATCAATTTTTTATTAAATATGAATTTAATAAATACCATAACACACAATTCAAGCACTATTTTAATTTATTTAACTTTTTTTAAATTTTTTTATTTGAATTTTGCTATATTCAAAATTTCACTTTTGGTCTAAAATTCAATATATTTTTTTAATAATAAAATTTTACAACTTTTTTTACTTATTTAATAAACACTTGCACAATTTCCAAGCAGTAATTTGCTATGTATTTCGCTCAACTATAATTTATGACATTTTATATGTATATACACACGTTTACACTCATAATTACATGCTTGTTTCTTGTATATGACTCGAATATTTATTTTTCACTTATTATAGCAATTTCTTTTTGGTTTGAATTATAATTTTTTACCACTGATTTATAAATATATTGACACACGTTTAATATTTTTTATTTTTCTCGATTTCTACTACAACTTTTGCTCAAAGGAAAATATGGATTTTATGTTATTCATTATAGATTTTTCTAYTTTCTTCTTCTTCTTTGGCAACCTTTGAAATCACTATACTAATGAAATTGTTAACTACATTTTTTAACCCATTTCCTTGTCATAATTATACATCAATGGTTTCAAGAATTTTATGAATTTCCATATCAAAAAATTTACATATACATTAATTATAATTATTTTTAATGAACGTTAGTTTTGTTTTCCCAAAAATATTATATTTTCCCAGACTTAAGCACGGCGCACGAATGGCAATTCAATTGATCGTCGCACTAACGTTCGCGAAAACTTTTTGAAAACTGAACGGGGAAAAGCTTTTTCACTTGAATGGGATTATTGAAAATTGCTTGTAGTTGGTGGTTTCCTTTATTCCATTGTTTTAAGGTGACCAGGTGTGGTGGAAATGAAGAATGTATTCTAACCTGAATTGCTAAATAAAGTGTACCAATATGAGCTTTTTTGCAGCATTCGAAGCATGCTTAGCATGACAGGCCTTTAAAGATCTTTTCTTTCAAAATTTAAACTTTTGATTTTGGCACATTGATTGTTAAATTAGGATGTATAAATTTTGCTGTGTTAAATAAATAACTTCCTTTAACCAAAAAAATATAAATGAGTGTTTGATTCAACAAAATCGGCAATTTCGCACAGAAAATTATTTCGAAATGACTATTTGAACGCTGTGAGTTAAAAGCGTTAGCTTTTTAAAACGTTTTTTTTCAGCTTGAAAATAATTCGAAGACCTTTTATCATGGAGAATATTTATATCTTTTTACGAGTACCAATAAAATGAGACTAACATTCGCAATACGTTCTCAGCTGTCTTTGAGTACATACAATATAATATAAATTGCTTCAAGCTCTGTTCGGTGCAAAATTGACTCTGCAATAAGATATCTGAGGTTTTTATTACGTCAAAATTTATGACAATCATAGTCAAAATAATAAAAATGACAGTATTTAAATTACAACGCTAACAACAACACTTTTCAGTTAAAGTAGGCAACAGTACAATGTATGCTTTTGCAACGAATGAGACTAAAATTCAATTGATACATGCCAGTTGTCGGCAAACAGATTTACATTTCATCATTAAATATGACATAAACATATTTTTTTTTTCCAATCAAACAATAAGCTTTACTTTTAAGCCGCTATAAAAAGGCTTAAAAGCAAAGAAAGCTAAAAATCTATTTAAGTAAAAAGAGCTATGGAGCTTTCTCTCCTATACTGGGAGCGACGGAACACGCGCTTAGAACTATACCATCTCTATAACTATTTATTATTATTACAAATTGTCTAGGTACAATACTGTCACCCACAAAAAGTAAAAATGAGGTTGAAAATACTTTCAGTCTGGTCACCCATCTTCGGCTAAGCAAGTCCACATATATGAAATGCATTTATCTTTTTCCCCTAACCTACTAGATATATACCAATAGGAGCATATACTAGGGTCTGAAGACTGTTAAAAAAGCTATTTCTGATATTTGCAATAAATAATATACAAAATGGACAAATGAGAAAGCTTCAAAGCACACGCTGTGCTAACGAACCAACAGCTTTGAATAATCCGATTAAAAATAATTTTTCATGAATGGTCAGCACATTTATATTTTATGTTGTATATTTTTCTTTTAACATAAAATAACCGCAAGAACGTCAAGCCCAAGAACTGTCCGCCCCAACTGCAACAAGCGGGCGAGCGAGGTAGCATGAGGTCAGCATAGCAGTTGCAGATGAAGAAGCATGCGCGTAATGAGCAGCAGACGCTGTGAAGACAGATGGACGTTGAAGAGCGATGGACAGATGTGGCAAGGAAACAGATGAGCAGTGGCAATGGGCAATGTGGAAAATGTTTGCGCAGACAAATCGACAGATATGAGCTGAAATTGAGTAGAATTATGAGCAAAAGATGAGTAGTAGTGTTAATGATGGGAAATTCGCCCGAAAAAAATATATAAATGTGAAAGCTTTCGCGTATGACCGGACATAGGAAGGGTGTAAGCATTACAAATTTGCAGTTGTTTTGTGTGTGTGTGTGTGTGTGTACATGAGGAAAATCGTCAGTGTTATACGCTGAAAGCATGTCAGCGCCACTTACTGCGCTCATATGCATACCTGTCTGTCAAGCTGATTGTCAGTCAATAGAAATGCCGAAATGCTTTCTGGAAAGCTTCTAAGGAAATATTTTTATCGGCATTATTAGTTATTGCTGAAATTTTGATTAGCTACATGAGTTTATTTAATCTGGAATTTAGTTGTTTTTGTTTACTTTGCTATTTTTGTAGAATTCGAACAATCAATGAATAATTGAAGAACCACTTGGTTGATTGCATCCGGTTCCTGCTCAAAATTATGTTAATGGGAAAATAAGTAAAAGAAGTGTGAGTAAATATGGTTTTATACGGTTGTATATCCCCCGAGCAGCCCCTAGTTGTCTCTAAATCTTTTTCTTTGGTCTTAAAAGGCTTTTCGTGGACTATGAAAAATTATCCTTATAATATTATATTTATTTCCTGTCACACATAACGGAATATTGTAATTACATAATTAAACACTACACTTATTCAAAAAGCATGCTTCATGCATTCATACTTAAACTCTACAGAAAAAGTAAAACAACATGATCATTTGCTTACAAGGGTATCAATATATCCGAAGGGATCGTCGTCATCCGAAGATGAATCCGAATCGCGCCCATGATCAGCTGGCGGTGGGCATGGATAGAAGGCTTGCGATTTGATTTTCGGTTGCTTTGACACCCGCCGCAATTCCTCCTCCATGGAGATGGTGCTGTTGCGTCGCTGTCGAAATTGACGCAGAAACTTTTCGAAGTCAGCCCACTCCGAGTCGACGACTTCAACATTTTCTTCGCCGAATTCTTCGTCGTAGCGTGGTTCGCGTTGATGTTCGCGCATGCGCGACTCGCTGTCGCGTGCGTGCGGGTGACGACTGACGAGATAAACCATTTTTTTTTGTTTCTTTATTAAAATGTAAGATAATTTTCACACAATTGTGGGTTATTGTTTGTGCATTATTTTCTTGAAACTGTTGGTTTTTGACTTTGTTTTGGCACTTTACGGTTTTGAATTTTCTATATTTCTTTAAGATTCGATGTGAATGCTAATAAAAATGTATGGATATTTTGTATTTATGGTTGGAGCACTAGAAGATTTCCAAAGTTTAGGAAAGGCCGGCAGGCTATTGTCCGAAGTTAAAAACATAACTAAGGATTAATTCACTGTAGTCAAGCAAGCTTGAAAAAAGTTACATTCAAGAAGGTTTCCCTAGAAAAAACCGTAGTTGTATAGACTTCCTGGAATGGATTATTTTTGAGATTTTGGCAGAAAAATTTGGTTTTAAGTGTAATACTGCATAGAGCTGAAAGCTGTGTTTTTTGACATAAAAAAATTTTTGTTGAGATTTTGTGCCATTTCGATCTCCAGGTTATCCGAGAAAAAGTAGATGGACGTGCTGATGATACTTGCGTTAATATTGCCGAGTATTTGAAATCTTAATGAATATTAATTGTAATAGAGAGGATTTGTTTGTAATAAACAGTAGATGTTGTTTTTGCTTTTGATAAAGAATCCGAGTCCGTTTCGGTTATGGAGAGCCCACTGTCTTGGGAACAGAAAAACAGTTGTTGTAGTAGTGAGGAGTAGAAGGAAGGATGGAGAAATGCTCATCGAAGCGTGTTTCCAAGTCAATCGGATGTAGCTATATGACACTTTCCAACTTTATGCTAAAGTATTCACTTTGACTAGAGCAGCAATTTTGCAAAGACTTTTGAAATTTGATTTCAAGATGTTTTCTAAACTACAATAACCATTCAAGATAAGTCTTAGCAAAATAAGGCTTTTGGTGATTTTTGTTGTAGTAATCAACGCTTTATGCACTTTTTATAAAATTGTACAAACAAAATTGTTTAAACACATTTTTTGAAAGTTTTCGGTATTTTATATATGAATATTTTTCTAATTCAGATAACTTTTTTTAAATAATATAGTTTTTTATATTTCATTCATATATAAGCAGTTATTCCATTTTTTTTCAAATATTAATTTTATTCCAATATTTCAATTTTTTGTTTGTATTTAATTAAATCTTGGCTTCAATGGCTCAATGAATTAATAATGTTTATAATATTTATTAATCTTAACTGAAATTTTCATGGTAAGCTTCAAATAAAGGATCAGCCCGCCAGAAATCCTTTCGTTTATATTCACTGACACTCTTTATCATTCTAAATTCCAGTTTAAGTTGCTAATTGCATTTTTTTGCATTACATACAAATGTTGCCACGCTTTCGCAATTATAGCTGGTTCTTAATGATTTATTAACGCTCAACTGTTGTGCATACTTGCAGCAAATAGTGATGTTCGGTCTTTGAGCTTACAATTTTGCAATGTGCTAATTCGCCTCTAATAAATATTTCCGGCAATTTAGACACAATGCGTCAGTAAACACACACGAGCGCACGCATACAAATGAACCTACAGATCAGTATACAATAAAATTGAGCTTTAATATAAATCACTAGTTACTAATTTAGTCACCGAACATTTTCATTATTCCTTTAGGAAATCTCACTGACAGTTACAACAATTTCTTTGGAAGAGGACTTTTCACTAAGTCACAACTGGTCAAAACTGGTCACACAGCGCCACAAGGTATCCGATAGGTGTCGTTGTATCGAATAGAAATGAACTTTGCGACGTTTCGCACTCAACTGAAATGTGATCGCTACGAAAACGTGTGTCAAAGGCAATACCACAAAGAGATCCATTAAATTTTAAACTAACCTTAATCAGAACTTGCCACATACTACTACTATATATACATATACATTTTTTATATCTACTATATATACATTTTGTATTTTTACATATATATTCAACCTAAATGATCATTCAGACAGTTCATTAGCTGGTCTAAATGAAGATTAACTGTGCGCAACTGAGCATCGAGCTTGAAAATGCTCAAGAATCGCTCATGAGGCGCAGAAAGTCTTACTAGAGAGGCGTGGAAACGTCTTCATTACATACAACATATCTACATATGTATGTACATACGTATGAGGATCAGCGACTTGCGCGCTTGTCACCAAACACATAAAATGCTTCAAATTGTCGTAAAAGTATCTACAAGTGCATGTATGTATATGTAAGTGTGTTGTGTGTAGAGCATGCGAAACAAAGATTGCAGCTTAATTTCATAAATTTATCAATTTACTACTTTAACCGGTCACTCTCCAAGCAACTGTATATATGTATGAAGGCATATGAAACTATTATAATATACATACATACATGTATCCATATCTTAGATGCGCTCATCGCAAACCATTACTATATATTTCTACACATATTATGTACATACATATGTATGTATGTGTTTTACTTGAGTCCAATTGTAAGCATATCGCAAACGCCTTCATTTAAAATCAGCATGCCGGCTAAAATTAAATGAAGTGAAGCTTACTTACTCATAAACTGTTCTTAACCTACCTTGCATCATATATGTATACATAACGGTTCTTCTTCCACATACAACATAGGAGAATGAAATATTGTAGTAATCATATTAATGTGATCTTCTCACTTTAGCAAGAATATTTTTCAGAGATGCCACTTTCAGAGAGTCGATTTATAGTATTTTTCCAGAGATTAGTTGGATTAAGATGACAGTTTATTTAAAGCACATAAATATTTCATAAATAATTTTTAACAATCAAGAGCGGTGTCTAAAAGATTTTATCGAATAACTATTTTTCTTTAAAGCGATTTTCAAAACAAGGATGTTTAGTAAGTAAATAATAGGCAGTACTATGTTGTTTGTTAAAAAAAAAAAAATTGTTAAAAATTAACCTCCGGTTAAAATATGTATATACTGAAAATTTCTTAACTGTAAAAAATAATGGCACACTGCAAACTTAGCTAAACTTTTTTTCTCTTCATAAATTCTTTGTTAAAACTCAGTTTTTATAAGTGATATACTTATATTAAAAAGTTGTAGGTAAAAAAAAGGACCCATTTATTTATTACAATTTCTCATGGCGTTCATTTCAAAAGCATTGTTTCCATGAGCAGAACGCCTAGTAATTTTATAACTTCAGATATACATATATTTCCAAAACGGCGAAACTCAGATTAAGAATATATAATATAAAGAAGGGTTTCGCTTTTGTTTTTTTTTCTTAGCTAGAGTTAAGCAAACATTTTATCTACAGTTTGAATCCTTACAAGGTAAATCTTGAATCGAGTGAGGAGAGGAGGGAAGAAATACGCCCTTTCAACAAAAAGAAGAGAGAGGCAGAAATACATGTGTACGAAGACCTTGAGATGCGAGTAGAAGGAGTACGGTCCGATATTATCAGAAATGCCTGTAAACAAATCGTTTCAAGTCCGAGGACGGCTTCTATAAAGACAGGAATGGAAACCTCACAACTGACACACGGTGTACACTTGAAATGGAGAGAGAACACTAAAAGAGGGAAGCATTCCATCACCTTTTTGTCGCACTGCCACTTTCGACCACACTGATAGGAGCTGCCTATTCGATCCATTCCTAAATTTGATATCCCTGCGAAACTTATACGACTATGCAGAAAAAGTATAATACTACTGGTGTTAACAGACGATATTGACATCACAGGCATTATCAACAGAGCCGTCAGCGCAGCTTTTTCAAGTCCAGAAAAAGAAGAGAAATAGGTTGGTTTTGTGGTGAACAAAGGCAAGACAAAATACCTGGAGCCCACAAAGATATCTCGGGTTTTGGAAACTGCGTTACTGTTGGCAAACATAAATTTGAAAAAGTTAAAGGCTTTGAATAAAAATTACGTTCTATAAGTCTCTCCTTATTCCCATCCAGCTACACGGCCCAGAAACATGGACGATGAGTACCCGAGATAAGTAAGCACTTGGATCATTCGAGAGAATTGTTCTTCACATGATTTTTGGAGCCATCTGCGTGAGCGATGAGTATCGAAGAAGAAGGATATATGGCGAGATGGATATAGTTAAGCGACCTGTCTGCACTTGGGATGTACAACTGACGTGAACTTGCAAAGAATAGAAGCAATTGGCGAATTTTCTCCGCCCAGACCAACCTTCGGTGGTGGTGTCAAAGAAGAAGAAAATGTACATACATATGTACACATATTTACTATAATTTATTTTATTAAATTTTTATTTAAAAATGTAATAGCAAAATCACTTAAATAAACTTCGTGAAAAAATAAGACATTTAAATTAACGTTTATATTGGCAGCTCTGCCTTTGTTAGTATGCATTTTCATTTGTTTTCATGACATGATCTTTGTTCTTTCTGGTTTAAATGCATCATTAAATACATACATTTACAGTTATAAATCCAAATGCACACTCAAGCAGATATAGAATGCTATATATATTATACACTAACTTGTTAAATTCAATAAAATATATAAATAATAAAATACTGTGCTATGGAGTTCGTTTGAGATAAATGTATCGAAGTTGGAACACACTTATAGTAGGAACCCTTGAGCAGTTAGGGGTAAGGCCAGAAAAAAATTAATTATTAAAAGAACGGACGGTCATCACAATAAATCAAAATTGTACGAGTGGCATAATTTAGTACATGGCTTAATTCGTATTGGAGCCCATAACCAATAAATATTAACAATTTGCTTATTTATAGTTGTAATAAAAGCATTAGCCAAACTTAATCCCGCTTCAATGTCAATCAGCTTTTGCTATGATCAGTACGATAACGGTAATGGTATGCCTATAAAGCAACTTGTCAATACAAGAGTGCATCCCAAGTGCATCGGACATAGTTTGTTCGGTTAGATACTCTCTAATAGTGATGGCCGATATCCATCGATGAATACTTCACAAAGATATCTATACACAATAGTGGTATTTTTTTAATGGCCTTTTTTTGCCAGATCACACGTGGCATATCAAGAACTGAAAATGGGGGGGGGGGGGCTTTTGAAAAATTTTAAGAAAATCCAACGTTTTCGAACCAAATATCATTCGGTGATGAGACCCATTTCTGCCT